CACCCCTCTCTAAAATCGGTATTGTCACGTCAGGCATAAATAGGGATCTAGCTATGTCAAACGCCTCGAGCCGAAGGTTACAATGTTCTCGAAGACGTCACCGTTCCGTTGGAAATTGTAGTCGGGGCAATTTCCCTCGGCGAGTGGCTCGATCACATTCAACAGGGTTTATTTCCTACGTCGTCCCTTTCATCACGCGATAACGCTATCTGGGTCTTTCAGTCTGGGGCTTTGTAATCCAAACGTCAGAGTTCTTTTGATCCTTCTCTCCACGGCAAACGTCCCTCCGCCGGAAGTTCTCGAGCAATGAGAACCAACCGGCCGATTATCGGCGACTTCCGCGACTAAAAGGTATACCGTGGAAATACCTGCCGATCCTTTATTTCACGGATTAATTTCGAGGATTAAGCGTCTCTGACACGTTATCTAAACATTATTTCTTAAGTAATTTTTAGCATGAGTTTTCTTTATATGGAATTTAAACGTAAACGTAAAATATTTAGAGGGACATTTAAAAAACCGAATTTAAATTCTATTTTTGTTTTAGTAATAGTAATTGATAAACATTATTCAAGCCAATCTGTCTTCTGTGAACGACTAACATTTCAATTACAAAAAAGATTTACAGTAATTATTATTTTCAATGTGCAAAAATTAAACTCACCCTAACGTTTGACATGTAAAATGATTTTCCATCTTTAAACGCTGTGTATCGAACCAACGTATTCCCATGAAATTCTACACAGTGTAGTTAGTCTGTCTGAAAGACCCAGTACAGCAACGCGAAATTATCGCCGAAGCTTTCTCACAAATACTTGAAGAAAGCAATTCGTCCACTCTCGTGACAAAGAAGGAAACTTGGTCGAACATGTCACTCGCGTACTGAACGTTCATCGCTTTCGTTTCGGAATGCTTCGTCGAAACAGAGCCGAACCAAACGGACGTGAAGGACACGAATCCATCGAGAGTTTCATCGTCGCGGACGATGCGAAGTATTTAAACCTCGGTGGAGTGCGTTTGAATTCGCACTTTCTTCTGCGAGCCGTTCCTCGACAGCGTCGGGCTGTGCGCCGAGAAGCCGGGATTGTGAATACCGAGTGGTTTTGGCTTTTTCAGCGAGCTTCGTAATGGCGAAGCCGTGCTCGTCACACTTCCGGAAGTTGCGACCGACGCCATCGAGCCGTTCCCAGCTCCGCCAACGTAAGGCTTGCCGCTAGCGTCGGTCATCGATATGGTGCCACCTGAAATGAAAAAGAAAGACCAACACCTTTCTTTATTTGGAATATTAATAATTAACTTGATGGTTATTGTACATATAACATTTAACGATACATAAACTAAGCTAGTCGTGTGATAAATGAAGATTAAAAAAATGCAGCTAATAGAAACAAAAAATATCGCTACATCGTGGATAATTATTGAATCACTCGCGTGAGAAATATTAGAGTACTAAAGTTCTTTACTACATTGTTACAGATATTTAGATTAAATTTGCTCGATTTGGTCTATGAATTTCGGAAAAGTAAAAGAGATGAAAAACGAGGACTGTGAAACAAACAATAATCGATGATACATTTTTTTTTATAGTCTTTCATACTATAAGAAAATAAGTAAGCATGTTTTTTCCAATTATTCGAGTTACACTCGATTCTACAATTTAACTTCGATTAAGAGAGGAAGTGAGACTGACGAATGAAAATTAACAATTGCTGATAAATGCTCAATCATTTGCATAATAAATTTTCATACCTATGTCACTGTTCATAGATATAAGTTTACACTGAAATTTAGATCTTTCTATCGTATATTCGATAATTAGAAGATTTCTAAGATTCCGAGAATTACACGATTCCTTCGTAAAACGAATCATAATAAGGATGTTTAATATCATTCATAAGAGTAATTGCTTATTACACTATAATTTCCATAGAACAAAGAAGCCAGAACATCGCGCAACAGTGATTACTTCTGGAATTTCTAATTAACTAAGAATCTCGAGAGTCATTTTTCAAGCACGACATTATTAACTCATAAAGTTTCACTATGTTGCAAATAAGTATCAATAACGAGCTTCTCAGCCTCTAGATTCACAAGATTTGTTCGAATTGTTCTTGAAAACGAAGAAAGTAGATTCGTATTATATAATTATGTAATAATTATCCATAATTAAAAAAGTTTCTTGGTTTTTCCAATCGATCGAAAATTCACAAGATTTCTGGGTTACTTTTAAGTAACGAACAGAAACGTTTTACAGATTGAAATCTATGGAAAATCATAATTTTAATTTGATGAACACGCGTGTCACGTTGCTCCTACGCGTCAGTAATAATTTAAGCACACCTGCACTCTTGCCACGTGGAAATTCATCGAGACGTTTTGATTCGCAACGAGGCACGACTGAATTTTCACTCTATGCGTCATCCAAAGTTATTCGCCACTTTTTCTATCGTTAAAGAATCCCTAAATTCGACGAAGAAATTACTAATTTCTTTTTTTCTTTTAAGATATTAAAAATCACATCAAGATACACAAAACTCAAGAACAGTGATGATTAGTTTGATAGTCGTAAGATCTTTTGTAAAAGAAAAAAGACTTATTTATCTCAGACATTGCCAAAATGTTTTCTCGTTTATTTGATCTGTTTATCTGTTTGTTTAATATCACGATCTCTTAATCTAATTTGTCAAATCTCTCATCTAAGAAAGATTTTCATTTCGTTTAATAATCTCCGTTTGCTTCCGCACAATTCATTCGCAACGATCGCTTTACTCCGCCAAAAAATAATATCCATCGCCCTCGAACTTGGAACACGAGCAATCGTGCTTCCTCCTTTTGTTTCTTCCTAATGTCTGTTTATCTGTCCCCTTTCGACAGTTATTCTACTTTCTTCCTACAAGAAGCTCGACATCACCTACAGTTTAATCCTCTTTTTCTCGTCGCAAGTTCCGCAAGTTTTGTCCCTTTTTCTTTGGAAGTTTCGCGTGGATCCTGCTCCCTCTGCCACCCCTCGTTATCCTTTATTTCCCTCGGCCACCCACGTGCAATCTCTATATATTCGCTCCCTTCTTCACCCATGGCTCCCCCCATCACGTCTCACAACCGAACATATTTCTCGGGCATATTGAGTTTCCATCAGCTGCTAGGCGAAAGTCCTTCGACTTCCAGCCACGTAATAACATTCTCTCCCAAAGGAGAGAACCTGAAGGGTATCTCGATTCGATTTTAGTGGGCTCGCGCGGCCTGTAAGGATGTTTAACATTCAATTCTGATCGAGGAACTCTGTGCAACCCTTGTTAACCCTCTATAACGTCGTGAGTTGACTTGGAAGCTAATATATCCCACGTACGTGTAATTTTATTTCGTACACTTGTCGACTTACAATTTCATTATTATACTATTGGATTTATCGGATTATTGTTTATGATACAATTATTATTAGTTTCCAGGAAGTAAACAGCTACGATTAATTGGTAATCTTTTCATTCTGTGAAACGAGTTATATTTTATATAATTATTATTACTTTTTCTCTTGTAATAACTAATTCTGATCGTGTAGACTAGTTTCTGAAGTAGGAAAAGGATGATTAAGAATAAAAAGAAAAGAAAGGAAAAGCTAGAGCTATCGAAACGATCAGCCAATTTTATAATTGTCCATTAAGATTTCTTTTAAGATTTATCTTGTTGAATAAATAACGTATACAAGCTGACTTCTCGTTATACTTTCGTCTCATTTTTTTTTTCATACATCGATTACAATACTTCGATTTAAAATCCAGGTGCTGATAATTGTCAAAAATATGTCGTTCGACATTTTCCCGTATTTCAGAATTTATTCCACAAGGATTGACAAATCCTTTACGAGTTTACAGTAAGTGGGGAAAATATTTAAGTGTTTGGAGAACGAAGTGTAGAAGCTGCCACTTCGTCGCGTAACCTTGAACATAACCCGTTTAAAATTGTGCATCGAAGCGAAGCCTCTATTAGTTGCTAAATGGATATGTCCCCTCCTTAACCACATAAATGACATTCCGATGAGGGAAAGGCTTTCCTTCCACGTTGCGAGCTTTCTCTTTGTTCCGCAGACGTGCAGCGTAGCTATAAGATTTAACGTAAAATTTATATAATGTTATTGTAAAGAAAAGCAGGATAACAAATGCAATCGATCAAATGCTTATCAAATGTTCTTTTTCTTAGCACATTATTTATGTATTTTATCGTTATATTATTCAACTTATTGCAGTTTTATATTTTCTTAAAGAAATTTATTTCATC